GAAAACATTAAAACCAGGAAAAAAAATATTAAGAATATGCCTGTAGAAGTTTAGAAAAATTTTCTGTAATAAAAAGAATGACGTTTATATCCTACAGCATAGTATACCCAGAAGGAGGCCAAGATGCTGTTGAACCGTGAGAAAGAACATTGCATGTTCTCTTTTTCAGTGGGAAAGAAAAGCTTTATCAGAGGCAGGCTGTTTTAAGGATTAATGTTCCTAGATGGAGATAAATCTTAACTATTGAAATAGTGTTTTCTCAGATCTAATTTAAAAAGTGTTCGCTTCTGGAAATCTCATACTTGTTCCTTTGTTTATAATTATTTTGAACATTTGCTTTCTGTTATCTGTGAAGAGATTTGAAAAGAGCAGGTCTGTTGGACGGTGGCTTCAGGGGTGACCTCCCTTGGCTTAAACAGGCATTTGTTGGGTAACACCTCTGCATGATTTCTAAAAGTTAGCAGAAGTGAGAAGGGTAACTGAAGTTTCCAGAATCAAGAAAAACTACAAAAGAAGCTCATTTTTATAAATGCTATTGTCTTATATAACCCCCTGGAAGACACCCAGTTCTCACTTCTAAGAGCTCTCATGAGTCAGTTTGTCATTTGATATTTTGTAGAGTTTGCAGTAAATTGGAAGACGTGAATTCTTCTACTTAACTTCAATGACAAACTATTTTGTACTTTAGTTTCTTAAGAAACTAAATTGAGGGAACCTATTTTATCTCTTTCCCATCTATGTCCAACCTACTCCCAACTTCTAGAACAGTTTCTTGTATGTAGTGAGTGCCCCATAATTGTAGAATTAAATCGAATTTGGGAATTTTTTTCCTTCTTTTGAAAATGAAGCTAAAAAAATATGAAGCCAGGAAGTTTTACCAGTCTTCCCCACAAACACCCACAGACATCAGCCTCTCAAGCATCTGCCTTTACTGGGCTGAGGAGTGAGTATCCTGTCTTCCCTCCCCTTCCTTCTTCTTCCTTTGCTCTTCCTGCTCCTACCTCCTCCTCTTTCTCCCCTATCCGCTCCTGTTCCTTCCCTTTCTCCTCTTCCCTAACCTAGAAGTTTCTAACCAAGAAATCTATATACACAAAGAACAACTGCCAATGGGAAAACAAGATATCACTTTATTAAGAGCTAGGCAAGGACTCAATCATCCCAATGTAACACTCTCTAGCAAGAGGAATTTGGAGAATAAAGTTGAAGTAAGGAAGCCTAAGTCCCTGTGCCTGACTCTAAGATTATCAGGGAGTCCACCTATGCTCCAAAACACATCAAAAAGGATATAAGAAGGCCGGGCATGGTGGCTCATGCCTGTAATCCCAGTACTTTGGGAGGTTGAGGTGCGCAGATCACTTGAGGTCAAGAGTTTGAGACCAGCCTGGCCAACACGGTGAAATCCCGTCTCTACTAAAAATACAAAAAGTAGCCGGATGTGGTGGTGCATGCCTGTAATCCCAGCTACTCAGGAGACTAAGGCATGAGAATTGCTTGACCCCAGAAGGCGGAGGTTGCAGTGAGCCGAGATTGTGCCACTGCACAATGGCCTGGACCAGACAGTGAAACTCCGCCCAAAAAAAAAAAAAAAAAAAAAAAAGGTCTTACAGCAAGTCAGCAGGGTCCACCAAGGTCTTTGGCCAGAAGCAGAGAGTTTACCATGTGGACACAGGAAACAGCAGTAGAGTGACTAGTGTGGGTTTGTCCTTAACCACTCAGGAATTTCAGGAATTCCGACCATGGGTAAAACCCAGTGGGGTGACACTCTCATGTTCTCACCAACCAGGAAACCACTTGCTCTGCTTTGGGGAGGAGTTAGTGGAGGACTGGGCGTGGGCAGAAAAATGGACACATTTTGCTTCCCTGATGGACAGAGGGAGGAAGTGGGAAGGGGAGACTAAATGTTCCTGGACAGGAAAGCATAGATCCATAATTGGAATGTGAGTTTATGATCTTATTCTATTTCTATTTTACAGAGGAAACCAGTCCACAGAGTTGTGATTTGCCCTGGGCCTTCCCACAATTCTAGAAACCCATGACTTGTCATCATTGCACGGTCACCTGACTCCCAGCCGGCTTCAGCCTCTCCGTTTGATCTCCCTCTACTCTCACTCTGCTGCTACCAAATCAGACTTCTTTTCAGGTCCTTAAACAATCTCTGTACTTTTCCATCTCTGTGTCTTTGATGACTTTATTCCCTTTCCTCACTCCATCATTAACATATGTACCCCTCAAGACCCAGCTCAGATGCCATTTCTATGAGACACTCTGTTTCTGTGCCAGAAACAGTTAAGCTTTCATTTGTGTGTCCAAAATGTGCCCCAGAGCAAGGATCTGGCAATCTGCATTTGAAACCTGGCTCCTTGGCTTCTTAGCTCTGACCTTGAGCAAATTACTTATTTTTTTGTTGTTGTCACTCAGTTTCCTAAAATATCATACAGGGAGTTGTCATGTTGTATTAATGGACATAATATAAATTAAATAGGATAATGGCAAGTATCCATTGGTCACCAAAAAGAGAGCCTACTATTACTGCCTTTAGCTATATTTTAGCACTGATGACAAAATATGGTAAATTATATCTATTTGTAGACCTAAGTTATCCGTTCCCATTGATTATTCACTTGCTGATGCTGCAACAATAGCTGCCCATTTTTTATCTCTTCCATCCCCACCCAGCTGTCTTGCACAATATATACAGTCAATACGTGTCTGATCAACGGAGTGGACTTAATGTGTCAAAACAGACTTGACTCTCTATCAATGATACAGGAGCTAAAAAGAAATTATTTAGGCAGAGAGTGAGAGTTAGGGAGTCCTTGGCAAGGCTTCGCTTCTAACAAAAAGCAGCCCCCAAATGATTTCTTTTCTAACAAAGAGCAGCCTGTAAAATCTAGCTGTAAACACAGATAAGCAAGCTGGAAGCTTGCATGGGTGAATGACAGCGGCTGTGCATTGCAATAGGAGAAGCCTACCTGGCGGCCAGGCATGTTCAACATGGAGGCTCCATCTTCTCTTTTCTTTGTCACCATGTGTGCAGTAAAGGAACAGGCAACATGGCGCTGGCCAGGTAGAGAGTCATCTGCATAATAAAAGATTAGGGTGGGGTGGCCAGCTATGCAAATGGCTCACCTGGTCTCACCAATCTCTCATGCCCTATGTAAATCAGATACCACCTCCTCTATCTCATCTATAAAATCTTATACACTTGGCTGTGGACCAGAACACCTGCTGGGGAGGCCCTCTCACTTTGCAGGAGAGAGAACTCTTCCTTTTCTTTAGCCAATTAAACCTCCACTCTTAACCTCACTGTTTGTGTGTCTGCATCCTTAATTTCCTTGGCGTGAGGCAACAAACCTCGGGTATTACAGACCAACGGTGCTGCTTCAGCTCATAGATGGCAAAAACCGCAATAACTTTTGCACCAACCCTAATGCTAAATTATTAATTCCTACTTATCTAAAAAACGAGAAGCATATAATTAGTATTGTAGGACACTACATGTATTTAGTCAAAATACCAGACAACCATATGTCACATGTATTTTTAAAATTAATGCTTCACTTTAGTAAAGTATTATAAACTGTTAATCATCCATCTTAACTTGTGCTTAGCCTTAACTGGAAGTTCAGTTCTCTCCACATTTTTTTCCTCCACCTGGTTAAGAACGGTTTTCTTTGGATTTAATCTGGTTTTTCTATTGTAGATCACATCTAATCAACGTAGTTGAATAGACTCAACAAACCAGTAAGAGGTTGTCGAAGCATCATTCATAACAAAAGGTAACAACAGTTCTTTATAGGCCATATCTCATGCCTTCTGTTTTACTGGGGCAAGTTTATGCCCCAGGAGGGTTAGGAATGGCATCTAACACCCCCGTGGAGCAGACAGACCCCGTTTGTAAGTGTGTATTTGTTTCAACCACATGCCTCTTAAGCTCCCTTTAAAAAAATAAAATTTAAAAAAAAATTCCTGTGAGTATAGGAAGTTTGCATCACATTCACTCTACAACGTCTTTAAAGGCAGCGATTACTCCAGAACAGAGGAGACAAACAAGGCCCCTTTGTTCCAAGAGTGCACTCCTTAAAGAGCAGTTCCAAGCCCATCAGTCTGAAGGGCCAGGCAGTTGGCCCCGGGGGAGCCTGCCAAATACCCAGAGATGCTTCCCGGGAATCTTCTGCTGCCGCTGAAGTGTTGACAGGCTCTTGAGCTGAGAGCTCAGGCTGTTGATAGGAATATATAGCTCAGATAGTCAGAAATCAACCTACTCAAATTTCTCAGACCATTCTCTCCTTCGTTTCTCTCTTTTTAACTATCCAAGTACAGATTTTCTTTTAAAAACCTTCCTCCCAGAAAATGTCTGCGTTCCTGCTTCCCCTTGGGGGTGACAAAATAAAAGGCTTCAGGTGCTTTAAGGCAAATGGAGTCACTTCCCCTCCCTTCAGCCCTCAAGTTCTGCTGATTCCAAGGGGTGGGCAGGGAGGGCCAGCAGTTGGCGGCCACCCCCTCCCTATCTCCTCTCACTTGGTATCTCCCTGGCCTCACTCTCAATCAGGTCTTCCAGGACCATACAGGGAAATGAAGAATACTGTTCGCTTACGAAGAATGTGGGAATCCCTGCAGTCCATGAAATTTTATTTCTATTTTACTTTCTTCTCAAAAGCCTTTTATTTTCTAAAAGCACATACAACATGAGCCCATTCTGATGACTTTAGGAACATCTATTCCTCAATGCAAAGATATTAATGCTAGATAATAAAGCTCTGAGTTCGTACATTTAAAAGTCTGGGGAGTGAGGAGTGAGGGGAGAGAGACAGCAGAAAAACGCCTGAATACTGATTTTCCTCTTCTACAAGCCCTTGATATTTAACTAATGTACCCTACCCTTCTCAAGTTCCCCAGCAGCTAAGGAAGGCCATGTGACTAATTCTGGCCAATGGGATGTAAGAAATTCAAAGTGCATTTCACAGAGCAAGTTAGGAACACACTCATTCTTCCAGCCTTTCCTCAACTCTGCTGTCTGGACCAGGGACTTGGTGTCAAAGGCAATGTCTCAGAAGAAACCTCATGCAACACAGTGACAATATCAGCCCTGGAGACCCTATCTCTGGACTCTGGGGTAAAAGAGCAATACATTTCTATCTTGTTTATACCACTGTAAATTTGAGTTTCAATTTTATTTCATGAACCCAGTCATACTTTAAGCCAAGGTGGATTTTCCACAAAGCTAATGGAGCAGAACTTTAGAAACCCTCAGTTGTGTCAGGTGTGGTGGCTCACGCCTGTAATCCTAGCACTCTGGGAGGCTGAGGAGGATGGATCACCTGAGGTCAGGAGTTCGAGATCAGCCTGGCCAACAGGGTGAAACCCCATCTCTACAAAAATACAAAAATTGGGTGGGCGTGGGTGTGTTGGTGTGTGCCTGTAATCCCAGGTACTGGGGAGGCTGAGGCAGGAGAACTGCTTGAACATGGGAGGCAGAGGTTGTAGTGAGACAAGACTGCACCATTGCACTCCAGCCTGGGCAACAAGAGCAAAACTCCATCTTAAAAAAACAACAAAAAACAAAAAACGAAACCTTCGCTTGCCAGGATGACTCCAAAGCCTGAGGAGGAACCCCGACATTGGGGTCATATGGTCATCTTATACTCTTCTCTTTAAAGGGTTCCTCAATTGCATAAACCTCACACCTCATCCACGATAAGCCAGTAAGTCTTTTCACGTGTGCCTCTTGCGTGGGGCATGGAGCACAGTCAATAGTTCACAGTTTCTCCTGCTTCAGATCATCTACTTGGTGACATTTAAGAATAGCACAGCCCATTGTTTCTCAAAGTACATTCCTAGATATTAATAATTGTTATAAGAAAAAAGAGTAACAGAAAAATATAATATTAGCTAATATATTTTTGTCTATGTTTTTAACTACAGTATTTCTCAGAGAAAGCAATGTGAGAATGTGCCTAGTGAATATCCCAGCACAAGAGAAGGCTGTATTTCCTAAAAGTATTGGACCACCAAATCCCCTTTTTAAGTAGTTTGTGGGTTATACTTTTGTGAAGCATGATTTGAAAGCACTTTCATGATATCAGCAGTAAATATTTATAGACTATCTCTTGGGGGAAACTAAGTTTTTTGTTTTTGTAGCATTAGTGGAAGAAGGTGATTTTTCTTCCTGATTTTATTGTTTAAAATTGCTCTCTGTCTGGAGTTTGCTGTTCAGTAAGCATTGATTCCAGCAATATTGTCATTTCTGCATTGACACTGGTGCATCTCTCAGGTCTCCAACAAAAGCTAAGAGTGACATGTACAACATGTTAGATCACCTGTGGGGGGAAGGGTGTGAGTTCAAGGGAGTTGGAGTCACACTGAGGTTTCATCTCCCATGAGGAAGATCTTTGATGGTGGGCTACAGAAAGCTACAACCACAATGCAGACGTAGTTCTGCAGAAAGGACCCATTTCTGTGCTGATATCAGTGCTTGGAGAAACCTCCAGGCTCATTTATGTGAGCCACATTTTCATTACAGGAAAATAATTGACACCAGGCTTCTTGTCTTTAACTGAAATTTAAGCATTTACACCTGTATTCATCTTCCAGGGTTTCTGTAAGAAAGTATCATAAACTGCATGGCTGCATGTACCCTACCTTTCTCAAGTTCCCCAGCAGCTAAGGAAGGCCGTGTGACTAATTCTGGCAGAAATCTATTTTTTCGCAGCGCTGGCGACTGGAAGTTCAAAGCCAAGGTGTCAGCAGTCCTTGCCTCCTCCTACCTTCCGGTGGTGGCCACTGATTCTTGGCATTTCTTGGCTTGCAACTGCACGACTTCAGTCTCTGCCTCTTTCCTCACATGGCATTTTCCTCTTTACAGGTGTTAGGAATGCAACATACTTTTTGGAGGGGGCACAATTCAATCCATAGTAATACGAAAGACTCCTTAATTTTCTGTAGGGCAGCATAATGTCATGATGGACAGAGCTCTGAATTAGGAGTCCGAAGGCCTGAGTGGGCCCTTAGCAAATCTCTAGGCTACATATCTATATACATAAACAAGGATAACAATACACTCCTTGACTTTGCTGTAAGGGTTGTAACAAAGATATAGAAAAGTGCTCTGTAGCCTTTCAATGATGATAGAAGTGTTATTGTCTTCAAAGAGAAACATGGCTAATGTGGGTAATTGAAATTTGGCATATGATCTCACACCTTACTTTAGACAATCATTTCGACCTTACCTCATTCATCTCTGTACTAGACAAGGACATAATTTTGTTTATATTGCTGCCCTTGCACTCTCTACTAAGGGATGTTAGATGATGAGGAAAGTCCTTGTTGGTGCAGCCAATTCTCAAATTGAATCTGAAGCATCCAGTAATGGGAAAATGTCCACATTGCTTTAATAATAATTCTTTAATGGAGTTTCAACTTGGGGTAAAAGACTGAAAAATGCCAGCAGAAGACTTTTTCTAAACAAAAAAAGCAACTACCTATTAATTAATCTAAAATTACTCAGCTTCAGTTGTATGTGCCTTTAACATGATAATAAGGGAACAGTAGGGCCATGGTTCATAAACTAGTGTCTTCGTCTCTAGAAGCACTGGTGATAGTAATGGGAATTTGCAGGCTAGTTGAGTTTTGCAGAAGTTTCCCAGATCATATTTTCATTTACTTAGTGCAGGGTAACTCAAATGTTCATCCTTTTTCTTTGGATAGAATTTATTACATCGTTTATCAGTAGTAATACTGGTTATCTCATGTTGGGTAAATGTTCTCTTTGGCAATCAATCCGAATAAATAAAAAAAAAGTTACTTATAATGAGCAATTTTTTGATGTGCAAAATCTTATAAAGCATGGGGATAAAGGGAGTTGAGATGTTAAACAGGGATTCTTGATGGTTAAAATATTGAGAAAAGAGTGAAGTTGAGGGTGAATACCGATCACATGATTCCGCTTTAATGAACATTGGAAAAACAAGGCAGGCTTCCAAACACTCTGTTCTATTTGTACTTCAACTCATTACTTGACTTAAATGCCTTTTAACTCTGACCTTCTAGAATTTCCTGTACAATCTTCCACTGTTTAAAATGAAGTTGCCTGATTGATTTCTTTACCATTTCAGAATGTCCTGTATCATTTTAATGACTGTGGTGTGTGACTTTGTTCTCAGCACAATGAGTAACGAAGCCAAAACACTGGAGAATACGTTTATGCATTCAAGAAAACCTCAGACAGGGCAGAATGCTTTCATAATGCAGTACACTAAAATCAGACGAAGCCTTGAAGGACAGAATCACCGACCCTGAAAAATCTCAAGCTGGAAATCAGAGTGTGCTACAGAAGACAACAGCGTTTGAGGACATTTGCTGAAGCAGCCTCCTCTCCCTTATAGTCTCATAATCCCACATGGTTTTACCAAGCTCTCTGGCCTTCCTGGAACATCAATAAAAACTGCATCCCCCGACTTTTGTTGGTGGTTTCTTCCCTAAACTTTAGGGAAGTGGTGGTTTATGTGGTGTTATAAGGGAAGATACTAAGCTTTAATTTAATATGATCTTACTTAGGCATTTCTCTTAGAGAGTAGGTCATTGTAACGAAGCGTTTTTCACCTTCTGGGAAAGAGGTTTCCACATAAGGGCCAGGCCGTGTTTTCCCTTTCATCCAGTGATTCCACCATAAGCAGCCTCTCATCTTCACTTTTCCCAACAATTTTCTTAAAATCAGTGTATTTTTTTGCAGGACCGGATATCACATTACATTCTCTAGTCAGGGGTCGGGGGTGGGATATGAAGTGAGAACAAAGGATGGTAACTCCCAAAGCGATTTTTTTAATGTAAACTTTGTTAGGAAGCATAACATACACACGTGCCAACATAAAGGGTGCAACTCCATGTAATTTTATGCAGACACTCACTCGTGGAACCACAACTAGAACAGGAAATAGGATTTTGCCAGCACCCCAGAAGCTCCTATAAGGCACCTTGCAGTCACTCCCCTCCCCTACCCCACCCTAGAACATAACAAGTTCATTTTCTGACTTCTATCACTGTAGATTAATTTGCCGCTATTCCAAACTTCCGTAAATGGAATCGGACAGTACACACTCTTTGGTACCTGGCTCAACAGTCTGTTCCTTGAGTCCGCTGAAGCAGTCATTTCTTCAATTTTATTGCTGACTCATATTCTGTGCTATGAAAATGTAACAATTTATTTTTCCATTCTACTACTGATGTGCCTTCGGATTCTTTCTAATATTTGCCCATAATGGAAAATGCTGCAATAAGAATTGTTGTGCACATCTTCTGAGAGCTCATCTACCTATTTCTATGGATATATACCTAGAAGTGTAATATCTGGGTCACAAATAGTCGTGTGCCTATGCAGGCTTGTACTGGCTCATGACAGCCCAGTTTTTGCAATCCAATTGTTAAATATAGCCACAACTGAAAATTAAGTCATGTAAACTTACCATTAAATAAAATAATTTTTAAACAATAATACTCAAAACTAGTTGTTTCCTATTTTACTACATTTGACTAACAACTGTTTGATTAACGCACATTTTATTATTGCTGCTTAATTTATGATTCTACCTAAGATATTTTATTTTTATTTACTTTTATTTTTTTGAGACTGTCTCATTCTGGTTGCCCAGGCTGAAGTGCAGTGGCTCTGTCTTGGCTCACTGCAGCCTTGACCCCCCGGGCTCAAGTGACTCTCCCACCTCAGCCTCCCAAACAACTGGGACTACAGGCATGTGCTACCATACCCCGCTAATTTTTTGTATTTTTAGTAGAGATGGGGCTTCGCTATGTTGCCCAGGCTGGTCTTGAACTCCTGGATTCAAGCAATCTGCCCACCTCGATAGCCTAGCACGTTGGGATTACAGGCATGAGCCACCACACACAGCCTGATACTTCAGGATTCTGACAAATAGAAGATATTAATACAGAACAAAAACAACAAAAGCATTTAATCTAATTTATGGTAGAGACGTCCAATCTCAAGAGTCAATGCCTTCCTTATTTTAACCAGTCACCACAGAAAACCTGAAAAACAGTGCCTGTAAGAGGCATCTGAGAGGTCTTCAAGAGACTGAAATTACTAACCAGGCTTCAGGAGGATTGAGGAGATCTGCTGTGCTGACACTCCAGTTTTGAGCAATATGTGCAAGTGGAATCATGCTTTGATCTCATACCAACAATTCTGCTCGGGATGTAATGTCTTAGTCTGTTTGGGCTGCTATAGCAAAACACCTGAGGTTGGGTAATTTATAAACAGTAGAGATTTATTCTATTACAGTTCTGGAATCTGGGAAGTCCAAAATCAAGGTGCCAATAGATTCCATGTCTGATGAGGGTGTGGTCTCTGCTTCAAAGATGGCAGCTTGATGCTGCATCCTCCCAAGGGAGGAATGCTGGGTCTTCACATGGCAGGAGGAACAGGAGGGCAAAAGGGGGTCAAGTTTCTCCCTCCATCAAGGTTTTTTTTTTTTTTTTTAATGGCATTAATCTGTTCATGAGGATGGAGCTATTATGATCTAAACACCTCCCAAAAGCCCCCACTTCCCAGAACTGTTGCATTGGGGATTAAATTTCCAATACATGAATTTTAGGGGACATGTTCGACCATAGCACTTGGTAAGAGCGAGGAAAAGAAAAAACAGTGGGCAGAGGCACAGACGAGATGAGATGATTAGGACCTGTCTGAAAGTTGCATGCTTCCTCACTCCCATTTACTGTGAATCTTTCCTCACTTCCTTCTTTGGACCATAGAACGATACATGTGCTGCCAAAGTGAGCAGTGGATCACAGAATGATAAGGGAGAATTTGGTAAAAGGGAAGGGTGGTTTTTGTGTCTCTAATGACCTGATCAGTATAATGACATGGCTTGAAAAAATAATCTCTTAGGTTACAATCTGCTCAAATTATTGAGTCGGTATTTAATCACTGTGGCACATATTAGAATAGTGTTCATGACACTTTGAGGTCCATTGATCTTTAATAAGGTAAGAAGGCAGCATTGGCTTAATTTTACATATCAAGAACATGAACCTTAGAGGGAAAAAGTGATCTTCTTTTTTTCTTTTCTTTTTTTTTTTTTTTTTGAGACGGAGTCTTGCTCTCTTCACTTTTCCCAACAATTTTCTTAAAATCAGTGTATTTTTTTGCAGGACCCTGGCGACTGGAAGTTCAAAGCCAAGGTGTCAGCAGTCCTTGCCTCCGTGTAGCTGGACTACAGACGCCCGCCACTCGCCCAGCTAGTTTTTTGTATTTTTTAGTAGAGACGGGGTTTCACCGTGCCAGGATGGTCTCGATCTCCTGACCTCGTGATCCGCCCGTCTCGGCCTCCCAAAGTGCTGGGATTACAGGCTTGAGCCACCGCGCCCGGCAAAAGTGACCTTCTTAAGAGCCCAAGTGAGTTAGTAGAAGAGTTACCTGGATCCAGAAACAAATTCTTAACTCCCAGGCAAGTCCTCTTTACTCTATCACTCCTGGTGGCTACTTTATTATTAGTAGTGATACTAGTGATACTAGATACCAGAAGACACCACAGTGAAGTTGGGAGTTTCCCTTATTCTGTTTATTCTGTTGACTGCAATGCAACCAACGGGCCTTAACACTTGGACCCATAATTAATTTTAGATTATAAGAGGCAGAGAATTCAACTCACACTAGACTGAGTAGCGGGAGACAAGGAGTGAAATTTATTGGATGGAGTTGAAACGGGAAAAGTTCCCTGGTCCCCTTCGCAGGGCATGAGACAGGGGGAGTGGCTAGCTTCTTCAGTGCCCCGCGGCTCACACCTCTCGGGAAGCACGCAGACAGGCAAGCTGTGGGGCTCCGACGCCCCCACGCACTCTCTAGGGGTGAATGTTTACAGCTTCTGAAGCCCCAGTGGGCGTGTGTTACAGGTGCTCTGAGTTTGCGTGTATAGGCGGCTTTTGTTAACCAGCTCAATTAGACCGTCTACCTGGTTGCAAGGACAGAGGGCTTTTTGTATTCCCGGTTCTTGCCTTGGTGTACTGGAAGAATTATTAGTGGGCTTGGAGAACTAGTGGGCTTGGAGAATGAGTGCAAAGTTTTGAGTGGAAATAGCTCTCTGCCAATGGGAGAGCCATAAGGGAGATGGTTTTCCCTTGGAGTTGGGCCACTGGGTGCCCCAGCTCTCCTCTGACCGCCCTGGCCAAACTCTGCCTTGTCCCACCAGTCGATGGCCTGCGGCATGCCGCCGTCTGTTGGTGTGCTCTTCTGCCTGCCTGCTGCTTGCCTGTCTTCTGATGTGCTTCTCTCCGTGTCTGGCCGCCTGTGTCTCCGCCTTGCTAGGGTCTGGGGTTTTTACAGGCCCAGGATGGGGGCATGGTGGGCCAGGGTGGTCTTGGGAAATGCAACATTTGGGTGGGAAGGCAGAGGTGCCTGTCCTCACCTAGGTCCATGGGGGTGGAGCGCTAGCCAGGGACCATGCCCTCCTCTGCCCAGCACTTCCCTTCCCCCTTTCCATATTATTCAAAGGGACCACGCCCTTCCCTTCTCAGCACTTCCGTATCAGAGTGGAGATGGCGTTGGTAATGATTATGACAGGGGACTCAAATGTCATCCACTTTCCTCTTCATTTACTGCCTCTGCTTTGCTGGGCATGGTAGCTTGTCTCTTACTTCACCTCTCCTTTCTCCAAGCTGCAGCAGACACCATGGGTGACAGCTCATCAACTCTGAGAGGAAAGGGATTCTCTTTCACGCTCTTCTCTAAAAACAATCTCTAAGGGAAATTTTGATTGTCATGACCTTGGATATAAGACCACTTCCCTGCAAAATCAAAACGGCTGGGAAGATACGATATTATGATGGGCCATGCTGAGAAAAGTGTCTGCAGGTAAACAAATCATTGAGGCCAGACAGGTAAGGCAGCTGTTTTATAAACCACATCAGCAATGGAATGGGGGTGGTAAGGAATAATTCCCTTAAAAAGAGGTGAGTACCATGGTCGAGGTGGATACCACCGGGGTTGTGAGAAGCCAGGAAGCCACATCATCTTTTACCAAGAGGATGGCCTCAATATCACAGTATTTATTATTTGAGTTACAAGGTTGTAGAGGGAAGCAAATGTCAACTGAACAAAAGCACTCACGAATAAACTGTCTATCCACTTAGGTGGATTGTCGCTGATTTTCTTTTTTGATTTTGGAAATAAAATTGTTATCACAATGCTGCATAATGGAAAACCATTGACAAGTGAAATCAGCAATCATGCAAAAGTTGCCTTGAAAAAAGAGATTTTGGGAAACTGCTTGAATCATACACAAATCTGTTGATAATGAGGACCTGACAAAGTAACAGCAGTTTACAACTGAGGAAGAGAGAGCCAATGATTGCATGGTGTGATTTCAGTATCAGAGAATTAAGACTGGCCCCTGGGAAACGGGTCAAATCCTAGAATTTTTAAGTAAAATAATCCTCTGTACAATTACACTGCATCAGTGAGGCACATAAAGGAAAGGTGTGTAAAAGGGCCAGCCTACATTTTTAGAAAGATAATGTCCCCCAAAACTCTGTACATAAACATTTCATTTATTCTTTGTTCATTTTAAAGTATTAACATATAGATGCAACAAAAACCAACATTTTATTAAATATAAGATAAAATAGGCTGGGCACGGTGGCTCACGCCTGTAATCCCAGCACTTTGGGAGGCCGAGGCAGGCAGATCACGAGGTCAGGAGATCAAGACCATCCCGGCTAACACCATGAAACCCTGTCTCTACTAAAAATACAAAAAATTAGCTGGGCATGGTGGCGGCTGCCTGTAGTCCCAGCTACTCGGGAGGCTGAGGCAGGAGAATGGCGTGAACCCAAGAGGCGGAGCTTGCAGTGAGCGGAGATCAAGCCACTGCACTCCAGCCTGGGCGACAGAGCGAGACTCCATCTCAAAAAAAAAAAAAAAGAAAAAAGGAAAAAGATAAAATAAGCTTATATTTACAATTCCCCTGGTTACTTTTCAAGATTAAATCTTTTTTAACTACTATGAAACTTCAGTATTCCTGTGAGGTGATTCTCCATAATTGATGTTTTCCGGTTAGCAATATTCCAAAGTAATATATCTATAGTTGCTGTTTCAAAGAGCTCCTCTTACTAAGCTAAATGATTTTGAAATGTGATTTAGGGCACCTAAAATTGTTTGTTTATATCTCTCCGTTTTCTAAGTAGTTGTGCCATTTCAGCTTATCCTACGATGGCTTCTTGGAGAGGTCCAGCTAACACACAATCTTTGTACATTTCTAGTTGAATTAATTCAATGTTATTAGTTTCAGTTCAATTTGATTATGATACATTGAATTGCTTCCAAGTGGATAGATACCTTGTGTTTGAGCATTGTAGTTTTGGTGATATATTTTTAAATGGTTATATGACCTCTGGGAAAGTCATGCAATGAATCTGAAGCTCAATGGCAAGACTAACAACTATTCAGGACAGTTGCTTAATATTAAATGATGCAATATACATGATTCCTGGCATATGGAGCCAATCAGTGCCAGTTGATATTGACTTTGTTTCCTGATTACTGATAAGGATGATGCTTATATTGCAGCTAAAACTGCTCAAGGAGCTTTGGCAGACCCAGGTCTCATAGCCATAAGTAGTATTAAATGTAAGACAAAAAATTGTGGTGTCTCTCTGAATAATTGACAACACACTACAACACAATGCAAAACAATTGCCAACTGAAATCACAAATCGTGAAAAATGCCCTGACAAAAGGCATTTGGGAGAACTGCTCAAACAATACATAAGTCCGTTAATAACATTTTCAACACTTGTTAGGTCAGAATAAAATATGCTATAATTATTGTTTTAGTGGAAGGATCATGGGAGTCAGATCACAAGAATGTAGGCCAATGTGCTCTGAAAACCCTTGTCATTACGCTGCACCAGCACATTCCAACCTACCATGAGCTTTATTTCCATGAATCCATTTTCCCAGGACCTAATAGTGTCGGTTAATCATACTTAAAATTTTGAGCTAACAGAACAAACAGAACAGAAAGAGCTAAAAGCAACCCTAAGTCTTTCTAAACCAGCCAATTTATTAATAATACTATTCATGCCCTCTCTTTTAAGTCTTTTTTTGATATAAAATTCACATAACATATTTTAAGCATTTTAAGGCACACAGTTCAATGGTTTTAGTATTATATATTCACAATGTTATGCAAGTATCATCACAGTCTGATTCCAGAGTATCTCCCCTGCCCTCCAAAAGAAACTATCCTTTTGAACATACTTCTGGAGGGGCAACACAAAGTCCAGCACTAATATTTATACATTTTTAATTTTTTTTTTTTGTTGAGACGGAGTCTCGCTTTGTCGCCCAGGCTGGAGTGCAGTGGCTGGATCTCAGCTCAATTCCCAAGGGTAATATAAACTTGAATGCATTAGGGAAAAGAGGTTACTTGAAACAAGGATTCAGAGTTTTAAAGCAAATATTAATAGTTCATTACCTGGAGGTGTAGTTGTGGTAGCCTGCCTTTAAGATGGCTTGCAATGATCTCTGCCTCCTGTCTGTCACACTCCGTGTAATCCCCTCCCAGACGATATCAGGATTGGTCTGAATGATCAGTGGAACAGTGCAGAAGTGATGCCATGTGACTCCTTAGGCTAGATTGTAAAAGATATTGTGGTTCAGCCTTGCTTTCTCCCTCAGTTCACTCCCTCTATGGGAAGCCAGCTATCATATCATGAAGACACTCAAGCAGCCCATAGAGTGCCTAATGGAGCAAGGAACTGAGGCTTTCTGCCACCTGTCAGCAAGGAGCTAAAGCTTTCTTCCAATAGCCATGTGAGTGTGCCATCTTGAAAGCAGAACCTACATCCCCAGTCAAGTCTTCAGATGAGACTGCAGCCATGGACTATACCTTGATGACAGCCTCATGAGAGTCTTTGAGCCAGAGCCCCTCAATTAAGCTACTCATGGATTCCTGACCCTTTGAAACTATGTGTAATAAAGGTCTGTGGTTTTATACTGCTAAATTTTGAGGTTTTTTGTTTTTGTTTTTTTTTTTTTTTACAGAGTAATAGACAACATACAGTGGTATTAGGGTAATAATTCAGCAAAGATAGGAATATGAGAAGAGAAAGTATCTCTGCCATTTTGGGTAAAGCACTGAGGCTCATAGATACACAGTTAATGTAAAATCCATTTAACTCTTACTAACTTTGAGCAGATCAGATCAGATTGCCGCTTCCATATATAGTCTTTTCCCTGCCACCAGAATGCAACCTTTTTTTTTCAATTAATACAGTCCTTGTTCAAATTAAGTCTATATCATACAGAAATCAGTAGAGAGGCTTACATATAATTTTTGATGGGTCCTCTTCTTGGCTAGAGATGGAAGACTTTAATCCCCTGAACCTTCACAGGGATGGGCTGAGAGAGGGTTGAAATAAGTACTTTCCAGAAGGACCTTCCAATTTTTCTCTATGTTTATTTGTACTGAATTTTACTGAAAGAGGTAGAACAAACAAACATAAATTTAAATCAAATACAAATAAAATGGCAAACGAATTTAAAAGAGTTTGAAAATGTTAAACCAGGTATTACTACCTTCCCCAACCCTACCCCTCAGGAGAGGTACTAGGTTCTCCTTTCCCGCTTAAATATATACTCAAACCGTCTATTCTTTGAGGTGCTCAAACCACTTGACAGTGTTTTCTTTTGGCACCAAAATACGTTTATACAATTCAAACCTCCAGTCTGTTCAGATCTTGTTAAAACTTGTTGCGCTTTGCTAACTCCTAATACAAAGTCAGTGCAGTTTTGTAGTTTAGGCCATAGACTTAAACTGCATTTCACTAGATGTTTGCCTGATACCATCAATTTCTGTCACTTAGTCAAGTGATGGGAGGTGGGGCAAATTTTCTTTTTGAAGGAATGTGGACTGAAAATTTGCTTCACAATTCTGGGCACCAGGTTCTTGGATTTGCAGTAGCTCTTAGACGGCAATGGTGAGACTAAGCCAGATGCCATCCAGTTACAAACATCAACAGTTGGGAGCCAAGGGAACTCATCTCCTGTTTCATCAAATGAAAACATAACACAGATGCATTTTGTTAAGTGGGCATGAAGAACAGACATTGAATCCATGAGTTCATTTGTTTTAAAAATAGGCCCCCAAATAATCAGGATGTTTCTCTGGGACTGTGAGAACCAGGTGTAAATACAGAGCGATGATGTCTTCAGGACTGGCTTCTCCCTGCTTTCTCCTCTTCTGCTTCCATAAGTGGGTTTTTGTGGTGGGTTGTGGTGGATTTTTTTCTTTCTTTTTTTTTTTTTGAGACAAAGTGGCCCTCTGTTGCCCAGGCTGGAGTGCAGTGGCGCCATCTCGGTTCACTGCAACCTCTGACTCTTGGGTTCAAGCAATTCTCATGCCTCAGCCTCCGGAGTGGCTGAGATTACAGGCATGCGCCACCATGTCTGGCTATTCTTTTGTATTTTTCGCAGGGTTTTGCCATGTTGGCCAGGTTGGTTAACACTTTCGCAACTTAAAAAAAAACAACAACAGAAATTTATTTCTCATGGTTCTGGAGCCTGGAAAGTCCAGGGTCACACCACCAGCAGATTTGATTTCTGGTGAGAGTCCACTTTCTGGTTCACAGAAAGTGCCTTCTAGTTGGGTCATCACATTATGCTATCAAGATTTCTCTATTTTTGATGCATATGGGTTATTCTTTTGTCTTAGTAACATTCCATTATACTATAATATCATAGTTTTCCATTTTCTAAACAATACTGGAGCGAACACACTTGTACTTATCCTGGGACAATTCAAACCTCCAGTTTCACTTCTCCTATCTGTATGTGGAAAATTGGTTCAAAATGGCTTTATCAATTTGTATTCCCACTTCCCAGTGTGTGAAAATTCTCATTATTAACTATTGGGACATTAGATATTTAAATTTTTGTCATTTTGATGAGTATAAAATGTATTTTGGCCAGGCAGTGGCTCACGCCTGTAATCCCAGCACTTGGGAGGCCGAGGCGGGCGGAACACGGGTCAGGAGATCGAGACCATCTTGGCTAACACGTGAAAAACCCATCTCTACTAAAAATACAAAATATTAGCCGAGTGTGGTGGTGGGCGCCTGTAGTTCCAGCTACTTGGGAGGCTGAGGCAGAGAATGGTGTGAACCCGGGAGGGGCTTGCAGTGAGCCGAGATCGCGCCACTGCCTCCAGCCTGGGTGACAGAGCAAACTCCCGTCCAAAAAAAAAAAAAAAAAAGAATTATATCTCATTGTTTAAATTGTATTTCCCTAATTCTAGTAAGCGCTAAGCCACCATTTCATAGATTTTGGGCTCATTCTGCCTCCTTCTTGATGAATTGCCCGTTCATCTCCTTTGCTCCACTTCCCTACAGGGTAGCTATTTTTTCTCATTAACTTGTAGGACATGTTTATATATTCTGATTATCAATCTTTCACCAGTTATATGCACCACAAATATCTTAATCCAGTCCAGCTCCTTTAAAACCATATGTATTGGATGGTGAAGCTTGTTTCTCTCAGTGCGAAATGTGGATTACTACATCGTCATCACAGATAAATCAGATAATATGATCATGGGAAAGTTCCTGCTCGTGCACTGCCCACAGGCAGGAGATTAGGTGTCAGTAAATGTGAGTTTCCCCCTTTCCTTTACAGAACTTCAGAATTAGC